TGACCCTTGGATATGGGGGTGTCGCGGCCCCCCCATGGCCTCGCCCCACCTCTCTCGCTCTCTCCTCTGCAGGCAGCCGGGCTCGGGGCCGCGCCGTGAGGCTGCCCCCCCCCTGCACCAGGCTGGGGGGCGCGATGTCCGGGGAGCCGGGCGGGGGCCCGGGGGTGTACCACGAACGCCAGCGCCTGGAGCTCTGTGCCGTCCACGCCCTGAACAACGTCCTGCAGGAGCGACGCTTCACCCAGGAGGCGACCGACGAGATCTGCAAGAGGTAGGGGGCGGGCGGACCCCCCCACTTCCCCCTCCTGCCACCCCATGTCTCCCCGGTGTCAGCCCCACCCGGCACCCCACCCTCCCCCCCGTGCCGGGCGCTCCTGGCCCCACAGCCGCCCCGGGTAAGTCACTGGGACCCGTCTCTTCCCTCCAGGCTGGCGCCGGACGCCCGGCTGAATCCGCATCGCAGCGTCCTGGGCACGGGCAACTACGACGTCAACGTCATCATGGCGGCCCTGCAGAGCCTGGACTTCGCGGCCATCTGGTGGGACAAGCGCCGGTGAGAGGGAGGGAGGGAGGCGGCGGGGGTGGGGGGTGTCCGAAGGGCAGGAACGGGCAGGCTGGGGCAGACCCCGCCCTGTCCGATAGCAGGGCGCTTAAAGGCTCCTGGGGCCGTGCGTGATCCCAGCCTGGCTCCTGCTGGCGCTGAGAGTGGGGTGACCAGCCGGCAAGTGTGAAAAATCGGGACGGGGGTGGGGGGTAAGACAAAGCCCCAAATCGGGACTGTCCCTATACAATTGGGACATCTGGTCACCCTGGCTGAAAGGCCGACGTCTGCCCTGAAATACCCTGGGCCTGGAGAATGCTCCCTGCCGCCCCGGTGCCTCTCCTTGTCCGTCCGCCTTCCCCTCCCCGCTGCGTATCCCCCCATTGTGTCCCCCTCTGGCTGTTTCTCTGAAGCCACCCCTCCAGCCCCTCGGTCTCGGTGTAACAGCCCCCCCCCCTCTCCCCCTTCTGCCGACAGGCCCCTGGAGCAGCTGGCGCTAAGCCGGGTGCACGGCTTCATCGTGAACGTGCCCTCCAACGTGTCCCTGGGCTTCGTGTCGCTGCCCGTGCGGCGTAAGCACTGGATCGCCGTGCGCCAGGTGGGAGGCACCTACTACAACCTGGACTCCAAGCTGAAGGCCCCGGCCTGCGTCGGCGGAGAGGGGGAGCTCAGGTGCGGGGGACGGGCAGGGGGTGGGGAGTGGCGCTCGGGGGGGTGAGAGGTGGGGGGTGAGTAAACAGTTTAACACTGTTGTGAAAAAAACAAACCTCCTTCTGGGCTGTATCAGCAGGAGCGTTGTAAGCCAGCCACGAGAAGTGATTTTTCCGCCCTGATACGGTCTCAGCTGGAGGATTGGGTCCTGTTCTGGGCGCCGCGTTGCAGGAGAGATGGGGACAAATTGGAGAAAGTCCAGAGACGAGCAACAAACATGAGGAAAAGTCTAGAAAACATGAGCTATGGGGGAAGATTGAAAAAACGGGGTTTGTTTAGTGTGGAGAAGAGACGCCGGAGAGGGGACGGGAGAACAGTTTGCAAGTGCAGAAAAAGGTGTTACAAGGAGGAGGGAGAAAAATTGTTCTTAACCTCTGAGGACAGGACAAGAAGCAATGGGCTTAAATTGCAACCAGGGCGGTTTAGGTTGGACATTAGGAAAAAATGTCCCGTCAGGCTGGTTAAACCGTGGAATAAATTACCGAGGGAGGTGGTGGAATCTCCGTCATTGGGGATTGTTAAGAGCAGGTTGGACAAACCCCCGTCAGGGACGGTCTAGAGAATATTTAGTCCTGCCATTAGTGCAGGGGACTGGACTGGAGACCTCACGAGGTCCCTTCCAGCCCTATGGTGCTATGCGGGGGAATAGGGGGGACCAGCAGGGGACAGGGCTCGGAGAGCTGGTATATAGGGGGCAGTGAGTGTGTGTGTGTGAGGGGAGCTCAGGTCTGGGGCATGGGCAGGGGTGGCCGGAGTACAGAGGGCAGAGCTGAGGTGCAGGGGATTGGAGGGGGGGGGCCCTAGGGGTGTATGGACCAGGGGGCCCTAGGGGTGTATGGACCAGGGGGCCGTGCAGGGCAGGAGCGCGGCGAGATGTGTAACAGGGGGTGCAAAGCAGGGCTGCTCTGACCCCCCCCCATCTCCTTGTCCCTCCCCCCAGGGCGTTCCTGCAGGAGTTCCTGTCCCAGGGTCCCTGCGAGGTGCTGCTGGTCGTGTCCCGGGCCGTGGAGGAATCCGGCGGCTGGTTGAACCCAGAGTGATGCCGCAGATACCAAAGATCCCGACTGTTCGTAGCAGCCTCGCCGGGGGGGGCAGGACCCACATGCTGAATCCGGCTTAGTCACAGCCCCCCCCCCGGCACTGGCATCAGATACCCCACCCTGCCTGCCCTGAGGAGTGCACAGCTCCGGGCCTGCTGCTCTCACTCCACTGGGGGGCCCTTCACCCCTCGGCCCCTGGAGCTGGTGGCGGCACCGGGGGGCCACAGGGGAACCTGGCTTAGGGTGCCCGGCCACATCTCCCTGCTGGGATCCGGCTCAGCTGCAAGTGCTTGCGAAGTTTATGATAAAGGACACTATGCTACCGCTGCCTTGGTGCGATTGCCTGGGGTGGGGACGGCGCCGGGTCTCTCTGAGGGGAGGAAACTGAGGGCAGCGCAGGGGGTGGGAACAAGGGCTGAGGGGGGTGGGGGGCACCCAGCTCAGACGTTGGGACGCCTGGGTTCTATTCCGCTCAGGTGCAGACAGGTCCCGCCCACTCCCTGCTTCCAGCCCCAGGGAAGGGTCCCAGCTCCCTGACTCAGTGAACTCCCCGGGGAAGACGGTGCCTGCGTTGCAGGTTGGAGCCTCCTGGCGATTGTGCTTTCACCACTGGGGAGGTGTCTGTGTGTGTGGTGGGGGGTGGGGGGGGGGGTAGGGTGGGGCGTGGGCGTCCGTCGTCGGGGCCGGGGCC